CTGGTGGCAGAGCTGCTGGAACTGCCAGAACTGGAAAGTGTATCCTCTGCAGAGGGCAGAACAAAACCTGCCAGGTTCAGAAGGTCCCGGATCATCTGGCCTTTGATGCTGATGTCCAATGGAGAGTTCGAGTGGAGGCTAGGGGAAATGTTGACTTCCAGGACCCAGGGCTTGAGGTCCTCGTCGAGCATGACATCGAAACCAAAGAGCTCATGGCAGCTGTAGGGCCGCCGCACATACATCTTCAGCAGGCTGGTTACATAGGGCTCTGACGAAATTATAGTTTTGACAACAACATCTTTTATCTTCTCCCAGATGGTATCACTATTGATTCCCTTCTCACTCAGGTAGTTCCATAAAGCCTTCAGTGCCCATTTGTGGCCTTGGCAGGCCATTTCATCTGCATTGGCTTGGTACTCAACATTCTTTTTATTGACACTGTAGTTGGTCAAGTGCATGAACTTGTTGCCAAGGCTCTTCATGGAAGGAGAATACTTGCAACTGGCAAAGCGGACGAGACCATCTGAAAAGAGGTAAATTCGTAGAGGATCATAGGAAGTGACGTAAACATAGATCCTCAGATCAAACTTGCTGCCGCTGATGAGGTAGGGTTTGTGTAGATACCTCTGTACCAGGAGGGGCCTTCTCTTGGGGAGCTGACTCCGTTTGTGAATGACCTGGATGCCAATGCCTCGTGCTGATGCTGGTGGCTTCACAATCCACTTCTGGCGGCTGCTGTTCTCCCAGGCTTTTCTCAGGAGCTTGGCATCTTGGGGCAGGATAAAAGACTGGGGAAAGAAACTGAACTCCTTCTTGCCAAAGCGGGTCTGCATGCGGGACAGGTTCCGCCATAGTCGGTCTTTCCGCCCAATCTGGAAGGAGCCTGGGAAGTGATTCAGCTTCTGATGCTCCCGAATGGATCGGAAACTAGCAGACTTCATGTGGTGACCCCAGCAGCCCAGCCAGTCATAATTTCTCTTGCTGGTTTTGAAGTGGGATCGTCCAATGGTTTGCTTGACAATGTTGGGGGTCACTGTACTCGTCTTCCACCGGAGCAACTTCCTCTGCTCCCAGGGAAGTTTTTCCACACGCTCATCTCGAGTGCCAAAATAGATGGTAGGAGGCACATTGGGGAAGAGGCTGTAGGTTAGGGCTGGTCGGACAACTTTCTCATTACTGGAAAGGGGTTTGGACAGAACCTCTGCACAGCTCCGAGAAATCACTGCTACTGACTCACTAGCAGAGACAGCGCTGAACGAGGAGCACTCCGAGTCTCTATCCTCATCTTCGTTCTCATCATGGCTGCAGCAGTCTTCCAAACCATCTAGGAGATCATCTTCTGCATCTTCAGCTTCAACCTGGTCTGGCTGGAAGTCAGCATCTGAACCAAGATCCCTAGCAGGTAAGTCCAGCTTCCTGCTTTCCTTAGGCTCCCTCATAGGCTGGTCCAGATGGATGGAGGAGAGATGGGTGGCCACATCATCTACGCCAGGAATTTGAGAGGAAGAGGGAACCAGAGTTTTATCTACTTCAAGTGATGGAGGGTCAATTGCAGATCCACAGGCAGGGCTACTACTGAGCCCATTGGCAGATGAGGCAAGGAGGTGAATGCTGATATGTTTGGTACAGAAGACTGTATTGTCCAATGCCAAGGTGTCTTGGGCACCAGAGGGAATGCTATAGTCTGTTCCAGCATCCTCCTGAGGAAACTGCTGGCCTACCATGGGGGGCTTCCACTGCTTGCCCTTGTTGAGGAGGTTCCACTGGAGGCTCGGGTTCACAAAACAAGATTGTTCAAACTGGC